GCAACCTGGAATGGAAATCTTGCAATGGTCTAAGACACTCGAAGAAGTTTCTGAGGGCTTATGATCAAGAAAAATCACAGATCTTCCTGAGTAAGAACAATCTTCGGATTGTCACGGGGTTTTTAACAGGACACTGTCTCCTCAATGAACACCTCAGTAGATTGAAACTAAGAAGAAACGGCGAATGCAGATTCTGTGGGAAAGATGGGGAAACACCAGTACACCTCATCACTGAGTGCGCCGAGACGACAACCATTCGTGCCATGAATTTTGGTACGACTGATATTGGAGATGGAGAACTACCCTCTATAAAACCGTCCCAGATACTGGCTTTTGTCAAAGCCCTGGGACTGTATGATGAGTTATGATTCAAGAAAGGGGGACACAATGGATCTGTAAGGTCGAAGTGATTAACCCCCCTCCCACTCATTCTAAATTCTAAAAAAAAACACAATTCTTCCACTATAAAAAATTGTGAGATCTCATGTAAAATCAAGTCCGCTCACATACAAACCAAACCGCTCCATCTGAAAGCGCTGTAAGTCTCCGTTGGATTAACGCAACAGTGTTTACAAAAAATAACTATTTTAATTTGTTTTTTTTTGTTGATTTTCTTCCAGTGGCGAAATACCCATAGGACTTTTTTGGATACCCTGTATTTATTATAATACTAGCGTGTACCAGCGACTTCGTTCGCGTCGAATTAATCTTTTGTAATGGTGATGATAAAGCAAAGCAAGAATTTCCATTAACATACAAACTGGATAAAATTTTCTCACATTTATGTCAGCATGAGAAAAAACAATATGGCGATATTATTATATAACTTGGTAATATTTGAGGGGTAGTTTCAACTCGTTGGAATTTGACTTTCGAAAAATCCGTTTGCCAAAAATAAGCTTTTTACGTCAAGCAGTTTTATTACCCAACTTTTTGGAACAACCTGTATGATTTTTATTTATTATTTTATTATTATATTTATGCTTGTCCAAGCGTTTTCACGAAAGACTAACCGTTTTTTAAATAACAAATATTGTAATATTTGAGGGGCATTTTCACCCTCTTGGAATTTGAGATTCGAGAAACCCCTCCTTATCGAATCTCTACACCCCACAGTCAATCCGTTTGCCAAAAATCAGCTTTAATCGTCAAGCAGTTTAAGCAGAATCGTGATTACTCAGTGGTCATATTTTATGAAACACCCTATATAAATTTATAAAAAATCTTAATATATGTAAAACAACAAAATAAAATATACGTGTTTAAGAGTTTTTCCGAAAAACTCACCGGTTTTTAAATAAAAAATATTTCAATATTTGATGGATAGTTTCACCCCCTTAGAATTCGAGTTTCGAAAAATCCCTTCTTATCGAAACTCTACACCCTAAATTCAATCTGTTTTCCAAAAATCAGCTTTTTACGTCAAGCGCTTTAAGCAGGATCGTGATTAATCAATGACCAGATTTTTCGAAACACCCTGTATACATTTTTAAAAAATCTTAAAATATGTAAAAAAACAAAATAAAATATACGTGTTTAAGCGTTTTTTCGGAAACTTGACCGTTTTTTAAATAAAAAATGTTGTAATATTCTTGCGTTGAGTGGTTTTAGCAGGATCGTGATTAATCAGTATGTCAGTCACTTATGGATTTTATATATTAGTATAGATTACTTTTTTAATTATACATTTTCAAATATGCTACAAAATAGACGAAATATTATGACAACATAAACTAAAAAAATTACTTGAGAAAATATAATATCGAATCCTAGCCAGTATTATAGTACTAGCCAGGATAATGCGCCCGATCAATAACCATGATATAAATCTGGATTAAAAATTTAATATGAAAACTCTGTAAACAGCCATTACAATAAATCCAAATATGCATATATACCATGAAAAATTGAAATAAATATTTTGAACACGGCCAAGTATTCGACCGCATTAAATATGACTTATTTTTGTTTTACCAACCTCACTATTGTTTTATTAGTTTCTAGCATAGAACAGCTTTAATAATAGTGTATTATTTTATTAGGTGAAAAAATATGGTACTTTTTGTGGCGAGGCACAAAAATTCATTTTTACTCCGAATAGAACATGCTATTTTTTTCAAACGTCACAAATGATTTTTTTAAACAATTTCAAGCCTTGCAAATAATATTAAAATATTTAAATGTAATACCTTCTAAGTAATTATATGCCGAGAAACTATGGTAATACACTCTAATAATATATTTTCGTACTTTTATGCTTAGGCGTAAAAGTGCTTTGACGTTTGAAAAAAAGGTATATTGTAGATCATTGCCTGGACAAAACAAAACTTATATGGTGAAATTTTGACAAAATAATTTAGTATTAACTAAGACAGTATGTGGTATGAAAAATATTTTTAGAAGTTATTAGTTTATTTGATTGGAAATAATTCATAGGGAAAAATACATACATATTTATGTAGTATGTATACATATAATGTAATATACATATAATGTCGTTTTAATGTATTTGACGTAATTGTCAAGTTGTCAATAAGGAACATGCAAGAAAATCTACAAAATAAAAAAATACTGCAGGCGAAATACCCATAAAGAATATTTTTGGAGAGATGAATCCGCTACATAGGTATAGACATTTTTTATTAAGAGGAAAGTTTTTAAATTGTTTTATTACACTCTCATGAATATTTTTCATATTAGAAGTGTTTACTCTAAAATTATTATTTTGGTAATTATTGTGATTACAGTTGAGGGTTGGAACCTTTGGTGTTAAACAGCAAAATAAAAACACTAAATCACCACAATACACCAAAACACTTTTACTTTTACACTGGACGCGCGTTTCGCTAACCATGTTAGCATCATCAGCAGATGATTATAAACTATCAGTTTATAATCATTAACAGTTACAGTTTATAATTAACAGTTTATAATCATCTGCTGATGATGCTAACATGGTTAGCGAAACGCGCGTCCAGTGTAAAAGTAAAAGTGTTTTGGTGTATTGTGGTGATTTAGTGTTTTTATTTTGCAATTATTGTGAACTATACGACTATATGCATGTACGACGTTGGGGGACTGCTTGGCAGGAGGGTTAGAGGTCGCGAAGCGGTACCAGCTTCATTAAATGAACCTCGTTTGGTCCTTAAAGAATAATGGGAAAACATAACGCAATATCATATATGCAACCTCATTAGCCGCAGTTATAGCGGCTCGGCGAAGGGAGGCAATGCAAAGTATTATGGTATAGTTTACACTTTTTTTTCTGTTTGTATATTTGACTATTACAGATATTTATTTATTTTTACAGATATCTATCTCGTAAAAACTCGAACTTTATCGTTACTCTTTAACGTTTTTTTTTAAATTTAGTATAGAGTATCTAATGCAGCGTAATATGTCGCAATAATTACCAAAGCCACTTTGTTACATTGAAAAATAATATCAAAAAGTAATGCAATATGATATATGCAACCTCATTGACGTATGAACTAACATATACTGGCAGTTATAGCGGCTCGGCGAAGGGAGGCAATGCAAAGTATTATGGTATAGTTTACACTCTTTTTTCTGTTTGTATATTTGACTATTACAGATATTTATTTATTTTTACAGATATCTATCTCGTAAAAACTCGAACTTTATCGTTACTCTTTAACGTTTTTTTTTTTAATTTAGAGTATCTAATGCAGCGTAATATGTCGCAATAATTACCAAAGCCACTTTGTTACATTGAAAAATAATATCAAAAAGTAATGCAATATGATATATGCAACCTCATTGACGTATGAACTAACATATACTGGCAGTTATAGCGGCTCGGCGAAGGGAGGCAATGCAAAATATTATGGTATAGTTTACACTTTTTTTTCTATTTGACTATTACAGATATTTATTTATTTTTACAGATATCTATCTCGTAAAAAACTCGAACTTTATCGTTACTCTTTAACGTTTTTTTTTTAAATTTTGTATAGAGTATCTAATGCAGCGTAATATGTCGCAATAATTACCAAAACCACTTTGTTACATTGAAAAATAATATCAAAAAGTAATGCAATATGATATATGCAACCTCATTGACGTATGAACTAACATATACTGGCAGTTATAGCGGCTCGGCGAAGGGAGGCAATGCAAAGTATTATGGTATAGTTTACACTCTTTTTTCTGTTTGTATATTTGACTATTACAGATATTTATTTATTTTTACAGATATCTATCTCGTAAAAACTCGAACTTTATCGTTACTCTTTAACGTTTTTTTTTTAAATTTAGTATAGAGTATCTAATGCAGCGTAATATGTCGCAATAATTACCAAAGCCACTTTGTTACATTGAAAAATAATATCAAAAAGTAATGCAATATGATATATGCAACCTCATTGACGTATGAACTAACATATACTGGCAGTTATAGCGGCTCGGCGAAGGGAGGCAATGCAAAGTATTATGGTATAGTTTACACTTTTTTTTCTGTTTGTATATTTGACTATTACAGATATTTATTTATTTTTACAGATATCTATCTCGTAAAAACTCGAACTTTATCGTTACTCTTTAACGTTTTTTTTTAAATTTAGTATAGAGTATCTAATGCAGCGTAATATGTCGCAATAATTACCAAAGCCACTTTGTTACATTGAAAAATAATATCAAAAAGTAATGATAATTGAAAAAAATTGCAAATTGTTGGTAGCAAGTTCATTTCACTTTTAAAAATTAAGCAAAGCATATGGGACAAAGTACAAAATACTCAGAAGACAGAAAAATAATGCTTTAGGAAAATTTCCTCACGAAATTATTGCACCGCGTGTTTTAAAGCTAAGGTAAAAACAACCATTCGATAAACCCTGTATAATATAGCACAGTACTGAAGTTTATACAAACCTGAGATTAAGAATTAAAGTTGATATATTTATATACAGTTTGCCAAAAAAAAATCAATAAGATTGGGCTAAAAATAAAAAATATAACATTTTCCGTTGCAAAATCCTTACCTTTACAAATGTACCATTATCCTTTAATGAGCAGCAAAAACAAACAAATCATAATATTATCAAATAATACCCTGCTAACAAAACTTAAATAAAAATTATTACATCTTAAAAAAGAAATTAGAACTAGTATACCTATATTCCGCAGATTGCTAGCTCTCGAAGCGATAGATACTCTGATATATTTTTCTTATATTAAACAAATATATTTTACAATCCTAAAATTATCATATTCTCTCAAAAATTAATTAAGGAAAAAATATTGTAAATGTAGGCCTATTTCTATGTTCGTGAATATTTATTAGAAACATTTTTATTTTCATACAAATATCCAGATATGTGTACATTACGTGTTACCTACCAGGAAGTAAAAACTAGGCATAAATCAAAGAATAGTTTCGGAAAAGAATTTTTACATCTTGATTTTAACGGATTTCGATATCTCCAAAAAGAAAAACATAAAAAACACGTGACGCTTCAAGCTAAGTGTGAAAACTCGAAGCAGATATTTTCGAAATCTGCAATTTAAAGGTTTCTTAATAATATGTGCCAGATGTTGCTGATGGCATCTCTATCTATTTCCCTTCCATCCATGTGTTTTATATCAGGCTCCATATAATTTATCGATATTATGCGTAAACCGAGTTTTATGTCTTTAAATCTTAATGTTTGTTTTGGTATGTTCTTAAATTTTTATACCGTATGATTGAATAAAAAACGGCGTCCAGTTGGCTTGGAAATGACGATCAAAGACATTTCCTATATACCTAATTCTACATATAAAATGACAATGATTTTCATTTCAGAACTATCGCTGACTCCTTTTTTTTTCGATGCGAGCCTTCCTATTTGAAGGGTCAATTTTATGTGGCAGATTTTAAATAAGTCTACCATAAAGTTAAAAAAAAAGCATTATTTGAAAAGAATTAAGATAACAAGTTTACAATAAAGAACGATTATTTATGTTTCAAAAAGAAACAAAACTGAAAGAGAATAGAACTGAATGTTCTATTTATTTTTTTTAAAGACAAGAGTACATATAGTACAAATTGACATCAATAGTACAAGCTAATAATATGAGTTTGGACTAAAATTCTCTATTATGTTTAGATAAAATTTCCATACATTAGGAAATGTTATTTTAGCTAATCGATTGCTATTTTAAAGGGCGGTTATAGTTTGCTTATTAGAGGCGAGAGATAACCTACTATGCAAATTTGAACTTCCATAGAAACATTTCTACAAGCAAATGATAGTGTATAATAAAGAAAAACAAAGCTGCAACCTCACAGAAAACTTAAGTCTTTTCTTGATTTAAGTTAAGTCATTTGATTTTAAGTCGTTTTTTCGAAAGCTGACTTAAAACTTAAAATTTAAGTCTATTTATCGTATTACGCGTGCGTAATGAATCTGTTTTCTTTCAAGTGAATCCCCGACTACGTTATGTAGCCCGAAAGACGAAAGAAAGAAATTTATCTCGAATAAATTGAAGAGTATCTTAAAATCCTCCAGCCCTTAGCTTATGCCATCGAAATATTACATTTTGATCAAAACACATCACCATTTTTAATAGACATGTATTCGGTGACATCTAAACTGTAATGGTATCTTAACATATAAAGACTAAAAAATCGGTTAAATTTTATAAAAAAAATATTTTCGGGTTCATAGTTATATACATAACATATTCTGAAAATTAAATGTTTTATTTTATGTGGTTTTAGTTAGTTCGTCTGTACCTACAATAAATGAATAATATGATACTATACTTACTAAGAAAATCGCTAATTGGTAATACAAGAAAATTATTAAACATTTAAAAAAAGGTACTTAAATTCAATTCTGGTTATCTTGACTTGGGGATAGTTATATTGATTTAAGTCGTTTTACTGACTTAACTTGCAGATAATCATGATTTAAGTCAAAAATATACAGGGTTGTTCACCACATACGACACGGAGTATTGTAGCTAAACGATTAGATTTTTACAAATTGTAAGTTTTGGGTTCGTTGAAGGTCTATTAGAGCTACAATTTAAAAATATTTTTACAAGAGACTTGTATTTTTTTTAAATGGAACGCCTTGTATATTATTCTATTTTTAGATTCTACGATTGAAATAAAGCTAAATTTGATTAAGGTTTATCACACTTAAACCTTACCGTTTTTGAAATATTTTTAATTTTATGAAATTGCAGTATAAATTTTAACGCTTCATTTCTTCAAGGGTATCGAAGGTTTTAACACTAAATATTTACTGAAGTTTATTTGTTGCTCAGATATTATGTTGCAATAATAAACAAGATACTATCTTATACAGAGTGTCTAAAAATTTATATTAAATAACTACTACTTTAAACGGCAATAACTTGTTTAATTTAAATAGAACACCCTGTATATTTTACGAGAATCAGATGCACAATTTAATTGTCTATCAAATTGTATTACACCATTCTATACCTATCTCTTCAAATTTTCGAAGAAAATGTATTTTTTATAATGTAAACCTCATTTACCATGGAATATTGACATTCTAGATTATTTTTAAAGATGTAACAAATTTCCAAAAAATATCAGTTACTAATATTGTCGATATAGTTCACTTATTTCATTAAAAGATAAAAAAAAACTGTTTAAATATTTTTTGTTAAAGGGGACCAATTAATATGATCCCAGTATTCAAACTACATTAATGATTAATTGACTGTTTACGTTGATTAATAATAATAATTGCTCCAAATACTAAAAACTGAATTTTGTATGTGTATTAGATAGTGTGGTAAAAAGTAACACATTATAAATTTTATTTAATTTTTTGGCCAATGTAACAGACATTTAATTTATATATTTTTAATTTATAACCGAGATTTTCATTTTCACAACTTATTATTGTATTGATTTCTGAGTCGAATCCACATTTATTTAGAATCATTTATTAATTAAAACAATTAAGTATGTAATTAACTAATTTTTGGGCGTTTGAATTTTGTCGAATTTGACTTAAATCATTTTCATTTTAAAAATGACTTAAGTCTTTTTTAAACTGATTTGTTGTAGCTTTGAAGACAAATATACGCACATTTTTCGAGAAATTTTGTCTAACTGTAAAACTCAGATATCAGATATGTTCCTGTAGGTTTTGCTTATTTTATAAATATCTTCTGCGGAAAACGTTATCTAAACATAGTACATTCCATCTAGTGGACAATATACTGTCATTGGACGTTTTCTGTGAACATAAGCTTGTAGAAAGAACAATATCGTGGGAAGTAAATATAGTGAAATAACCAATCCGAAGAATCAATAGTCCAAATCCAACGCTGATAATTCCAATCGTGCCGATTGCACTCACTGCTTATCGTAATATTACCATGAGCAGTGAGTGCAATCAGATGACACGGTAGACTAATTCTGATGAAAAATGATAGCTAGCGTGGAATTGGCACGAATATTCAGCATGTAGCGACTGAGAGTTTTGTTTAGAAAGTAATAGCTTTGGTAATAGAGAGGTATAAAACGAAGAAATTCGCCGACGTTTTTGTATATTACTTTCAAATCTATGACACATCATTCATATCAAATATAATTAATAAAGAAATGATAAAATCTCAATTAGTTTTTACAAAAAGAGGCATTAAATTTGGTGGTTTACGTGCTCACTATTACCTACATTTTATATTGGTATACAAAATGATTTGTAACCTAATATTATATTTTTGACTTGAAATTAAACTATCTAGAACAATAACGTACTAGAACATTAATGTTTCTTCGAACTCTCACTCCGGGATACCAAGACGACATTCCTGTTCTGTATAATAGGCAAACTATACCAATTAATTGTCAAGCTTCTGGAAACTTTCCGCATTATGAGATAAAATATATTGCATTAATTGCATACTTCCTACATACTCTAAAAAAAATAAATACTCTAAAATAATTCTAGAGAACTTTAGACACACACCTTTTGATATAATATTATAAATATTATTAAATTTCGATAATTTTACAAGATTCCCATAGTTCCAGTGAACTGAAAAAAATAAAGGTTTTCCTTGATATATGTAATATCAATCTTCGGATTGTCACGGGATTTTTACAGGACACAGTCTCCTCAATAAACACTTCAATAGATTGAAGCTAAGAAACAACGGCGAATGCAGATTCTTTCGGGAAAATGGGGAAACACCAGAACACCTCATGAGTGTGCCGAGATGACAATCATTAGTCCCATCGGAGACTGATATCGAAGATGGAAAACTAACCTCTGTAAAATCGTCTCAGATACTAGCATTTGTCAAGCCTTGATACTGTATGATAAATTATAACTCAAGAAAGGGGGACACAAGAGGTACAAGCTAAGTTTAGACTGAAGGCTAAGTATATCAATAATTAATAAGTAATTTTGCTACGGTAATCGCAAAAAAAATTCGATGCACGTCATTGACAATAAAGCCTATAAACCTGAGTAAATGAGATTTTAATAAAAATGTTTAAATTTTTTGTATAATTTAAGATACCGAGCAGCTTTTCATTTTACTTCATAGAGCAAACGATTGTAACAGAGATTTAATTAGGTCAAAGCTGCAAAAATTAGTTTAAAACTATTTTTATTATCGCCATGTTGGTCACACTGCGCCACGATCAACAACGTTGTCGTGTATTATTTGACAATTATCGCAATGTCATTATTTTGTATAATATCGTGTTGTTGAATCTTTCGGAGTAATTCACGTTTTTTTGTCGATTTTCATAGTCTTTTTTAAAAAATTGAACTTTTAAGCATCAACAGTTCTTTTGAGAACTAAATTTTCGAGTTTTTATATTGCATTTCTTGAAATTTGTGTGTCGAAACAAAGAGCTTGTAGCTTTCCTGATATTTTGAACGAAAACGTGATAATAAAGGTCCATTACGTCTTTTATTACCCCTGACTGCAGTCATAGAAGTATGACAATGAAAAGGGTGCTCAGGCGTTTGTGCGCCCTTCCACGTAGTTTAGTTGCCCAAGAAGCCTGCCGTCATTTTTTCTACAATGAATGGAACCTTTGTTATTGTGTCATATGCTTCTATAGTCTTCCCAATTAGAACATTTAAAAAAGGTGTATTCTATATTATCAGCTTCAGTACAATATAAACATTCGTCTGTTGTGGAGAGAGTTCTTTCATGAAGATATTTTCGAAAGCAGCAAAAAAAGTAGGTTTGATTGGTAAGCACATTATACCATAGCCGGAGAGCTGGCGACATATCTAGAGAACATATTTTAGGCAAGTTAGAATAACAAAAAAAAAGTTTAATAACTTGTGAACCCAGAATCCTGTCTGGCTGGGGGTTGGGGGTATTTCGCTACTGCGCAACCCATAACATTTGCAAAAAAATAAATCCAAAAAACATTCTTTAGGCAACTTGAAATTTGTTTATTCTTAAATTTTAGCATCTATTTAACCTAGAAATAAGTATGCCAGACTTTTTTTTCGGGTTTAAGGTGTAATCCGACCATTCCAAATATGTTTAATTATTATACCTGGAAAACATACTTGAGGCATTCTAAAATTTTTACAGCGTGTTTATTAGATGATATTAAACAATATGTGTTAATTGCCAGGATAAAGGACCTGGCGCAGGAATTTACTGCAGCAGTCCAAAGACTGAGATCTGCCACAGTCTTGGAAAACACACCACTATTTTCCAAGCTGAGCTATATGCGATTGAAACCTGTGTGCAACTGCTGGTAGAATAGCAATACACCGGGAAAACAATAAGCATATTTTCGGATAGTCAAGCCGCGTTGAAAGCACTTGAGGCAACGAAAAGTACGTCCAGGACGATTCTTCATTGTAAGAAACTACTCAATATATTAGGAGATGGAAACAAAGTGTCGCTAATATGGATACCGGGACATGTCGGCCTAGAGGGAAATGAACGTGCTGATTCCCTCGTCAAAACTGGTGCAAGCTCGCCATTCGTGGGCCCAGAACCGACACTTAGCGTACCAAAAAATCTCGCAAGAGACAGGCTCTGTGAATGAGTTAGGGGTGTGACGTTTTGGGACTGGTGTGACAGTCCCGGAATGGAACATACCAAGACAATCCTAGCAGGGCCATCCAAACGTAGAACACATGAACTCCTAAAGGCTGGTAGGAACGGAGCGCGTACGCTTACTGCAGTATACAGGGGCCACTGCCGGCTGAGATCACATCTACAGAGTATGGGACTGGTGGAAGACGCCGAATGCCGCCTCTGTATGGAAGATGACAAAACAATGAAGCACGTTATGTCTACCTGCCCCGCTGGGGGCAGGACCAGGTGTGAGGTGTTTAGCAAACCCATGCTAGACCTAACAGACCTAGAAGACATATCACCCTCGGACATAACGGCCTATGTTAAAAGGCTGGGTCTTGAGGGTGAACTTTAATGCTCTTTTTCTATTAAAGAGCTTGTAGAAACTGAGCCACAATAGGTCCTCGCGGCCTCAGTGGAGGGTCCCACCTGGAACTCACTCTTAGTAAAATACAATAATTGCCAGACGAATTAACGGGTTTTAATACTTGCCTGACGCGAATAAAGAGTTTAAATGAGCGCGACAAAAAAGTCTTATGAGTATTTATAAGCGCGAGAAAGATTATTGAGACCCGTCGGCAGCCGATGCGGCTGACGTAACAATATTTTGGAGTACTTCAAATTTTCATAAAAACAATTTTTTTTCGGTTTCATTTCAATTATTTGCAGGCATTTAATTCAGAGATTATTTTGTTGGAATTAAGTTACCATGTACAAATATGTATTTATAAATTAAATATTAATGTGCAAAGTTTAAATAGTTATAAATGATATAATAGATATATTGTTTCGCAATTTTACATTAAGATTCATCTCATAAATTCATCACAATCTGGCAGCGCTGTCACCATCGCTTGTCACTCAAAATTGATCACGTGCATCGGAAATTGTTTTGCGATTACTTTACAATTTCCGGACTTGATGTAGTATTTCAAATCCTACCAGTGTAACCCCTTCTTTCAATTTTATTCCAACTTTGCTTTTCCATAATCAAAACTATGACAACCTGCATTTTTAATGGCCCATATCTATGAAATGTTTAAATGTAAATTTACTACTTTTAAACTTGTCTTTTAAACAGACCACGCATTTAGAATGGCCTAGCCTACGTAGGTTAAAGGTTAATAAATCTGCTTACCCGATAGAGAGCGGGCAAATTGTCATTTTTCTTTCCCTTGCTGTCCTGCGGAAAATTCCAATCTCGTACGGCTTTGCGGACTTCCGGTCCGTCCGGATCGACCAATCGGAAAGCGGTGATATTGGTGCCGCCATATTTGAATTCCTCTAAATCGACACCATGCAGGTCCTGAAAATTAATTCAGGTTTATCTTGTATACTTAGCTTCAATTTTTTTTACTATAGATTATAGTATATATAGTTCAAAATTTGAGCTATATCCGCTTTACTTAAGTCTGTTCAAACACGCCAACCTTGAAATAAAATACCTTCTGAAACTAAAATTTGGTTAATGTTGAAATTTTATAGCATGGTTCATATACAGGTTGTTTCAAAAAACATGTGCCACTTGTCATCGGGAGATTCCTCATATAAAAATATGATTTATTTCTTATATCAACAAAGGTGTGCCACTGACCTTCTTTTCTCTTCTTAGCAAAATGTTGTAGGCCGTTTAATGGCAATTAAAAGTTCAGTCTCCTTGATGAGATCTCTTGAGAGAGAAAATCGAGTTCAAAACTAATAGCAACCTATAACCTATAAGTTTTTAATGCCATTAACTGGCCAAAGTCTTAAATAAGTCTGTGATAAACAAAAAACAATGTCAAACTACTATCGAAACTGGACTTATTTGTAAGAAAATTATAATAAACTAGCGTGTACCCGCGACTTCGTTGGCGTCTTATTAATCATTTGTAATGGTGATGATAAAGCAAAGCGAGAATTTCCATTAACATACAAACTGGATAAAATTTTCTCACATTTATGTCAGCATAGAACAAAAAAAAATCGAGAAACCCCTTCTTATCGAACCTCTACACCCCACAGTCAATCCGTTTGCCAAAAATCAGATTTAAACGTCAAGCAGTTTAAGCAGAATAGTGATTACTCAATGGTCATATTTTATGAAACACCCTGTATAAATTTTTAAAAATCTTCAAATATGTAGAACAAAATAAAATATGTTTAAGAGTTTTTCCGAGAAACCCACCGGTTTTTAAATAAAAAATATTCTAATATTTGAGGGGTGGTTTCACCCCCTTAGAATTCGAGTTTCGAAAAATCCCTTCTTATCGAACCTCTACACCCTAAAGTCAATCCGTTTTACAAAAAATCACCTTTTTAGGTCAAGCGCTTTAAGCAGGATCGTGATTAATCGATGACCAGATTTTTCGAAACACCCTGTATACATTTTTAAAAAATCTTAAAATATGTAACAAAACAAAATAAAATATACGTGTTTAAGCATTTTTTCGGAAACTTGTCCGTTTTTTAAATAACAAATATTGTAATATTTGAGGGGTTGTTTCACCCCCTTGGAACTGGGATTTCGAAAAATCCCTTCTTATCGAACCTCTACACCCTAGAATCAACCTGTATGCTAAAATTGGCTTCTTAAGGCAGCTACAGACGTTCATGCATACTTGACAAGTGTACTTGTGCAAGCGTACTTGTGCAAGCGTACTTGTATAAGAATCTTGAGCGTGTGTAGAACTTGTATAAGAATCTTGAGCTTGTACAAGTATTTCGACTTGTGCAAGTGGCATAGACTTGTACGAATTTTCTTCATGCCCCATTGACTTGCGCAAGTATGCATGAACGTTTGTATCACTTGCGCAAGCCTGAAGTTGGTTTTAGTAGGTTTAAGAACAATTTGTTTTCAATAAAAGGGTTAACCAGTAATAACAGTTTAAAATATGTTTCTTCATTCATTCGTAAATAATTTTGCCAATCAGCAGGGTAAAACTTCAATTTGTTTAAAATATTGGTATGCGAATAAATATTCCCCTTTAGAAGCGAGTTTTTGCACTAAAATCAACGGTTTTTTTTGTTTATGCAGAATCACGAACATCGCAAGAGCTAGCGCGTCTTTTTCGTCCATTTTTACCTACTAAAACCAGACTAAAACTAATCAAGTGCGCTTGTGTTGTGTGGAGTCAATGCAAACTTGTACAAGTACCCTTGCACAAGTACACTTGTCAAGTCTGCATGAACGTCTGTAGCCGCCTTTACGTTGAGTGGTTTGAGCAGCATCGTGATTAATCAGTGAGTCAGTCACTTAAGAATTTTATATATTAGTTTAGATTGAAAAAAAATGTAGAGTTTAAGTCCCTGTAGCTACAAAAAAATACAAACTCGGACCTATATTGATTCAAAAAAGAAATCTCTCCATTGTCGTTATTGTCGTTACTTCTCTCAAAAGATAATATAACTTTAAATGAAGAACTGTAAACGCTCTAATTAGAACAGCATTGATTTAAATCATTGTTTCACAGACATTTTCTTATTAAATTTAATGAGGACAATAATTAAAATTTGAGATCTAAATGGACAATTAGGCATAAATGCCCGAAAGCTTTACTTTTTTTGAGGAACTTAGCGAAGACAGAAAGACAGACCATTATACAGCTCTTAAGATTAGTAAATTATATGAAATAATTGACTTACCAGAGAAGTAATTAAGTAACTATGGTAGTCGCTCATCATCCCTATCTGTTGCGCTTGTTTTAGTACGTCGTAAATCCTCGGCGTTGAGCAATCAAGCACTATGTGACTCTCTGCCGAATTTTTAATTTGTTTCAGTAATGGTCTGAAACAAAAAAGCACGACATTGTAAAACGAAGCTTCATAATAAAAAAGAAATTTTGCTCAATACTATCTAAAAAGGGGTATATGACAATTTTTCTGGGGGAAGAAGGTGAAACCTCAGCCGTTTTTTTGTCGACAATACGGCAGATCTACAGGGTGGCGCACCTCATTCGCCTCGGTTGATTGTACGAAAACGGAAAGATATAAAAACAAAATATTTTATGGGTATATATGGGGAGGCAATATGCACAATTTAAAATTATTTTGAAATATACAGGGTGTCTCAGAACTAAGATCCATACCAAAGGTATATTTTTTCTTATGAAACACACCCGGTATTTTATTTCATTTTTAGATTCTTGGGCCCAAAAAAGGCATTTATTATAAGCGTTAAATATGTTTAAAATCTTTGGTTTTTGAAATACTTAAAGATATTTAAATTTGCATGCTACAATAGAATAGACTATTAACACCCTGTACATTACTTTTCAGAATTAATTCTTGTGCTGAGTTTAAAGGTAAAGAAACCAAGTTTACAGAAAAATGTTATTGTTTCCGTAAATTTATACAGGGGTGTCAAAAGTTGGTGATCTATTTTAAGGATTTATTTTACATAAAAACTTTGTTATTTCAAATGCAACACCCTGTATTTGTTTAAATAAATCGAAGCAGATTCAAATGTTCTTTCAAACTATATTAAGTTTTCCTATACCTATCTATCTCAGATTTTGAATAAAAAGCGATTTTAAATAAAATGGCAATCATGATGGCTGGTATCGCCATGGCAATTTTCTAGTGACAGTAACTATTGTCAAAATCGACATTGGTTTATGGACATTATTATTTAAACAGTTTACTAAAATTTACCCACAATAGTTTAATATGTGAGTATTCTTTATTTTATGAAGAAAAATAAAGCCGTATCTGCTGGCGGAACGAATGGATATGTTACTAGTGATTTTATTTTGTGAGGAAAGTTATTTCTTGGCCTCAAGAGCTTATGCTCAAAGATATCCAAATCGGAATCTTCCTGATAAGTGTTGCTTTGAAAAACTACTTGTCCTATTTCCTATTTCGCAGAGTTGGTAGTGTAGTTTATAAGAAATTTATTAGGCAGAAACCTGTCGTTTGAAGTGAAGAAATTGAATTTGCCCTAAATGACTCTTTTATAGAAAATTCATATATCTACAAGATATCGTAAAATAAAACAAAGAACTACTTCTTCGTTTTTCTTGATAGAATAATAAATACATATTAATATTAATAAATATTATTTATTAAACTATTGTAGGTAAATTAAATAAAAGTAAACTGGTATAAATTTAAATAAAGTCTATAAACTAATTTCGATTTTGAAAATAGTCACTAACTGTCACTAGAAAATTGCCATGGCGATACCAGTCATCTTGATTGCAATTTTATCTAAAAATCGCTTTTTATTCGAAATCTGAGATAGATAGTCATAAGAAACCCTAATATACTTTGAAAGAGCATTTGAATCTGCTTCGATTTATTTAAAAAAATACAGGGTGTTGCATTTGAAATAACAAAGTTTTTATGTAAAATAAATCCTTAAAATAGATCACCAATATTTGGTACCCCTGTATAAATTTAAGGAAGCAATAACATTTTTCAGTAAAGTTTATTTATTTACCTTTACACTCAGCATAAGAATTAATTCTGAAAAGTAATGTACAAGGTGTTAATAGTTATTTCTTTTGTAGCATGCATATTTAAATATCTTTAAATATATCAAAAACCAAAGATTTTAAACATATTTAACCCTTATAATAAATGCCTTTTTTTGGGCCCAAGAATCCAAAAATGAAATAAAATACCGGGTGTTTCATAAGAAAAAATGGTATGGATCTTAGTTCTGAGACACCCTGTATATTTAAAAACAATTTTAAATTGTGCATATTGCCTCCCCACATATACCTATAAAATATTTTGTTTCTATATATGTTCGTTTTCGTATAATCAACCGAGGCGAATGAGGTGCGCCACCCTGTATATATTAACCCTCAGAATATGTATCGAAAACAGTTGCAGCAGTGTTGTTGATTCCATAATTGTTGATTTTTTTGTAGAATTAAAGACAACAACAGCTTTTTAGAAGTCTTAGAGGACTTCTTCTTCTTACGACGCCGTCTCCTTTCGAAGGTTGGCGATCCAAATAGCTAACGTCATTCTAGATACAGCCATACGAAATATGTCGATTGATGAGCAACCAAACCATCTACGAATGTCCTTTAGCCAGGAATTCTGGCGTCTGCCGATAGATTTTTTGCCCTGGACTTTGCCTTCAATTATTAATCTGAGAAGTTCATACTTTTTACCCCTCATTATGTTGCCTATGTAGCGTGTTTTTCTTTCTTTGATGGTAAGCATGAGTTCTTTCTGTTTTCTCATTCGATTAAGAACCTCCACATTTGAAACTCTTTGGACCCATGATATCCTTAATATACGGCGGTAAATATACATTTCGAAGGCATCTAGTTTTTTTTCTAACGATATGTCAAGAGTCCAACTCTCACACCCGTACAGGAGAACTGAAAAAATGTAGCATCTGACCATGCGTACCCGTAGCTCCAAACTCAAATCTGACCTTGTGAAAAATTGTCTCATATTTATAAATGTTTTTCTAGCTTGTTCTATGCGGCTTCTAATTTCTTTCTTCGGGTCGCATTGATCATTTACAATACACCCCAAATACTTGTATGAAGACACTTGCTCTACTGGGTCACCGTTGATATCCAGGTGAATCTGCACAGGTGTTTTGATGAATGCAAGAACCTTCGTTTTTGTGGTATTTATGAGGACACCGCAGTTTTCACTATGCCGAACTAATTCATTCATTAGCCTCTGCAAATCTTGTTCATTCTCGGCCAGCACAACTGTATCGTCGGCATACCTGATATTATTGATCACTTTCCCGTTAATCTTAATTCCACATTCGATTCCTTCTAGAGCTTCTTTGAAGATAGCCTCTGAATATATATTAAATAAGAGCGGTGACAGCACACAGCCCTGTCTTACATTTCGTTTAATCGTGATTTCTTCTGACGATGTTCCTTCAATTTTAACCACTGCGTTTTGCTGCCAGGAAAAAAAGCTTGCTTAAAGGCTTGGCGGCACTGTTATCCCGATTTTACCTCACGGCAATTACTGTCGCCATCATTGCAAAAAATACTCAAAAAATTAGAAGCACGAAATTAAGCAGTAAAGAGCAGTAAATAAAAAGATTAATTACTCAAAATAAATTAATTTAAAAAACAGATTATAAATCGAAATCAAAAAATAAATGCTGAAATGAATAAAGATGCAGAATGTTTCAAATTTCCAGGACATTTTACCCAATGTATTCTTGACCAGCTTTACTTCAAAAATTTAAAACAAAAACTACACTTTGTGTAGTTTCTTTGCAGGAAAAATTTGACATTATCTAGTACAAGTAACGTGTAACTAGATTGTAACTTCTTGATATTTTTATAGTTTAGGACACATTTTTTTTTTAAGAAAAGTTAGGTATTAGAAATATACAGGGTGTTTCAAAACAAATGCGAAAAACTTCAGGGGGTGATTCCTTGTTCAAAATAAAGGGTAGTTTGCTTTATAAACGTTGGGTCAAAAGTCAACCATTAGGGAGATATCGCGGTACGAAGATGGCGGAAAAATAATGTTTTTATTTTTTATCTTTAAAACGAAAAGAGATAGACTAATGAAATTTTACGGAAGCATTCGGAAGCATTACTATTATGAAAACACACTTTCTGGTAATTTTTTCACTTTTTTAAAATGAGTGGAAGGGGTTGAAATAAACTACCCCTATCATTCTTGTTAATAAAATTTAAAGAAAAATCTTATCAAACACATGCAAAAAAAATTAATTGTGATAGTTTAGTTTATTTAGAAACTTTTTTATTTCTTGTGTTTTTTTGATAAAACTCACCGATTTGAAATTAAAAAATAAAATGTAAAGCATTACATGTCAGGACAAAAACATTTTTAGATAAAGAATCTAGTGGGCAGCTGTAATTTTTTAGAAAAAATCTAGTCGGCCGCTGTCACTTTTTAGGATGTTTCTAATATTGTTTTATTTGACATTACCCTACTGCAATACGTTATTATCTAGATTATTATTATTATCATTATTATCACTAGATTCTTAATCTAAAAATATTTTTAGTCCTGACATGTAATGCTTTACATTTTATTTTTTAATTTCAAATCGGTGAGTTTTATTAAAAAAACACAAGAGATAAAAAAGTTTCTAAACAAACTAAGCTTTCCAAATTAATTTTTTTTTCATGTGTTTGATAAGATTTTTCTTTAAATTTCGTTAACAAGAATGATAGGGGTAGTTTATTTCAACCCCTTCCACTCATTTTAAAAAAGTGAAAAAATTACCAGAAAGTGTGTTTTCATAAAAGTAATGCTTCCATAAAATTTCATTAGTCTATCTCTTTTCGTTTTCAAGATAAAAAATAAGAACATTATTTTCCCGCCATTTTAGTACCGCGATATCTCCCTAATGGTTGACTTTTGACCCAACGTTTATGAAGCAAACTACCCTTTATTTTGAACAAGGAATCACCCCCTGAAGTTTTTTGCATTTGTTTTGAAACACCCTGTATATTGAGTTCTATGGAAAATATATTATAATCATAATATATCTATTTTGTTTTAAGTAATTTGCATACGTATGTAAGTTGGATGAACATAAAATAGTGTCATCTGGGAATCTATGTTCTGTTGATTTCTCGACAAGGTTTTACTTTATAATCCTCTTTAATAATCGAAATTTTTATAAATCAACAGCAAGTTGACGTGTATTTTTTCGTACTATTACCACAGTTAAGCAGCAATATTGTTTGTTATTAGAAGGGGTGGCCGCTTGAAAACACTCCTTTTTTGATTTTTGGATCGTTTAATTTGCGTTGACAAACAAAATTTGCGATCCTAAATGTTGATTACGAGCAACCCATTACCGAATTTCGC